TGGCTGCTCACTGCTCCTTTTACCCACCAAACAGCCCTGTTACTTGCTGCAGAAATTTGGGATAATACGCTGGTCCAAACTGCTTTCTTTTTCTTGTTTCTGATTTCCGCTAATAATTCTCACCAAGCTCCTCTCCCGGTGCACTAAGTCCCCCGGGTTAATTATAGGTGTGGGGAGAAGGTGATTTTTTTTTTCCCCTGGCTGATTTTCCAGCAGTTTTGCCTTTTGCGTCCACTGTTTTTGTCCTTGATTTTCTTCCTAAAGGAGGGCAAACAGACGTCTTTCGCTGATGTTCTCTGGGCTGTTCATTACTCTCTCACTGCGCTGTTGGTGGGGTCATATTCTTGCACTGTTCTCATTTACCTTTCAGAAAATCGTGAAAGGAAAAGACAAGTGTCACTCTGCCTCCTTGGAGGTGATGTTGTCTGAGAAGAGAAAACACAGCCCAGGACCGCTCTGTTTCTATTTGCCCCCGCGAAGCTGGGGTGGACTCTGTAAAGCGTGGGTTCAGGCACAGCTGGGGCCGGGCTCAGTGCTTGGGCACCCCCGTTTATTTCTCGTCACCCATGAGACCCATTTTGAAAGGCTTGGGTGAATTCGCCTTGGGTAAATTCGTGTGCCTCCAAGCAGCCAAGGAGGTGTTAACTTGTCCCCCTCTTTCCCCGAGCCCAGAGGAGGGAGGGTGATGCTGAGGGAGATCCTGGGTTAGCCAGGACAGTCCCTGCGCAGCGGAGGTTGTGACCTCAGTGTTTTCCCTTGGGTTTCTACCCGGAGAGGGAGCTTTCCCCTGTATTTTCCCTTGAGAGCCCAGGAAGATGCTTCTCCTCCTGCCTGCCCCCCTGCCAGCCCCAGCTCGCCCATGCGTGCCAGGGGCAATACCCCTCTGGGCGACCAGGGGACAGGGTCCGACCCAGCCCCTCTGAGCGCTGTCCCCACACTGGCAGGACCCTTCCCACAGCCAGTGGGTGCCACCCGCAGCGGGGTGGACAAGCAAGTGGGCACTGGGGAAGTGACGGCTGGGCCGGGCAGCAAAAGGACAGCAGTGGGAGCCCCCGGGACGGCATTACTGTCACAGCACCACATGCTCGAGCCACCAAGAGCACGCTGCAGCGCTTCCTGGGGAGCAAACCCAATGGTGGGACCCAGAGGGTGAGAGAGGCAGACGTTTCCTCCCTGCCACCCGCTGCCTTTCCCCAGAGTCGCAGAGGCAGGCGGCTCTCGGAGAGTCGGCTGGAGAGCAGCGGCTACACAACCCTCCTGCTTCCTCGCTGCAGCTAGGGACACAGCCCACGAAGACCACGCCAGCTCCTCTCCCAGGGTGGCTCTGGGGATGGGGGACTCATTTGCTGCTCCAGTTGTCATGTTTGCTCAGGGGACAGCGCTGCGCAGCCCCTGCGTGTCGGCAGCTGCTCAGGGAGAACCGGCCTCGCTCCCTGCGGATGACAAGGTGATGAGACATGGGAACGGATGAGATGCCTTTGCCAGGATGCCACGTGCATCGGGAACCCCAGGACAGCCACCCCAGAGCCCATAACAGCATGGGAGGCACAGGACGGAGTGCGGAAGCAAACCTGGGGTCACGCTGTGCTCCTTACGGCACCATCCTCTGCAGCCACCTGTCCAGCACCACCGGGGGTGGCACCCAGCACACTGTCCCCCCCCAGTGATGGCTTCACTGGCACCGTGACACCCACTAGCCCCGTGGGGTGCAGGTGCCATCATGGCAGCCCCGCACCTCGACTTCCGCAGCCAAAATTGCCCCAGGAAGCAGCCGCTGCCCGAGCCCCCGCCGGT